CACAGTACCTCTACATTTAAAATACTTCCCATTAGGTTCTTTAATCTGTCTCTAACAGAACACGTCTAGATGAGCTGATAACTCTAGGTGCTAACTTTACTTCTGCAAATAGATCTGTATTCTATATTACTGTTCTACATGTGGTTCCTTCAATGATCCTATTCCTGTGTTTTTCAGCCAGAAAATTCTTAGACCTAGTTAATGGGCTTCTGTGAGACAGACTTTAGATATCATTAGCACAAGATTTAAGGGGGTTAAATTACATCAATTAAGGCCTAACTGAACGGTTTAATTTTTTTCAGTTTAGCTCTTAATGACTTAATTCACCCTATAACCTGACCAATTTAACAGCTTATCTCAGCAGGGTGGGATACCTCTGACTTAACCTTTTCACAACAAAATCACACAAGATCAGCTTTCACTCCGCTATTTCATTCTGCTAAAGTGGACACTTTAATAGCAGTTCTTCTAAAATGATGCTGGTTAGCATTCCTACATGGGGTGTAAACTCTGACAACAGTGTTTTTGTAGCAATTTAGTAAAACCTTTTCTGGATTGCAGGTAAAATCATTCTTTTATGCCCTCCCATTTTTGGAATTACCTACTGTACATCAATTCACATTACTGACAGTATGACCTTTGACCTTTAACCACTGCAGGAGAGTTTCAAAAACGCACAAATGCCAGACGTCAGGCTCCTTCTTCAGCAAGGCAAGACCCCCAGCTTCAGCACTGGTATTTTGCGACATAAGGAAGACAGATGCACTGATAACATTGCAAGGTCAAAGGTGCTCAGTAAACCACAGAGGCCACAAGCAGAGGAAACCCTAGCCAACTCTTAGTATGCTGTCCCCAAGGAAAATCTAAAAGGAATTTCCAGATTTTCTTGAAGCAAAAACTTTAGTTTTAGTATATAAATGAACTGTAATACGAATTATTTAGGGCTTTTTCCTATGCTATTCAATCATTACTTTTTAAATTTTACCGTTTATCTAAAATACCTGCACAGGATTATATTTGTCATTAATTGCTCAGTTTCAAGAGCTTTTAGGAATTAGTTTCTTCACAGTTCTCATCAATACATTCTTCCCATAGAGTTCTTATGGCTGTATCATGTAGCATAAGAAAAGCTGAGATTCCCGAGTTATCAATGTCTTGAGAGCTATCAAGATAATTAAATTGTCCTCATTGAATGCACAATTCATCTTGTGCCAGGGTTTGTGGTGTTTACTTGTAGAGTAACTTAAAAAATTATAACCACTAGTTTCAAGATTTAAAATACCTTCCCCTCTCAGCTCATTTTTTAAAGCAAGCTAAAATATCACCAACTGATGTTTAGTTAATTCGAAACATTTCTGGGCGTGAAATAAACTGCTTTCACAGAATCAAACCGAAACAAGACAAAGTCAAAATGAAAAGATGATGCAAATCGTGAAACCTCTACTGTGGTGAATCTAATAGGAATGTTTGCCCAAGAAGGGGCTTTCCACCCTCCATCAAAACCACTGGCTCTCATCTGGATCACTTCCTGCTCCATTTCCCACAAGACAGTCTCTTAGTCTGTAATTTCCCAGCCCATAACCTGCCCTGTGTTTACAGGAAACACAAGGTTCAGTTCCCAAAAATTTCACTCTCTAGGGACGCAAATTCCCACAGCACAGGAATCAAACCACCCGGGGCTACAGAGCTCTGGGACAGACACGACAATGCAGCCTTTTCCTTCAACAATGCTCACATTATACCATCTTTACTCCCAACGCAACAACAGTTCTCATTGAAATCTGACAGCAGCTACAAACATGACATTCTTCTCTTTGATATCCACAATTACTTTTCACAATTTTACACTCAAAACCAAACTTATCATTTTAGGGAAATTACTCTGCTCCAACATGAAAAGGCTTCTTGACAATATTTCTGCATATTCAGATATTTAACAAAGATTGTGACCAGAACTCAATATACAGTTACTACTACTACTAACAGCTACCTACTAAAATGTTAATGTGTCAGATATGGAGAATTGTTTTTCTCCAGAAGACACCATAGTATTTTCCTATACATGCTCTACATTCGGCCCTTCAATAAGAACATAAGAAGGGCTTCCTCTCATCTTTAATGTTCTATATACTGTATATTCTATACCAGCCCAAGAACCCCAGCCTCACTCCCCCAAAGGGGCAGGTACAGTGACCCTTGCACTAAATTCCCATGCACAGACCATTTCTTCCACAAGTATATCTAGAGCGCCAATTAATCTAAATGTAATTATTACTAGCATATCTACTATGAAGGTCCCTTCTCTAGGGGCACATTCATATGTAGTGTTTTAAATTAGTTCCAATTGAGCTGTAATATTACAAGGCTGCATGATTTCATAAAACTTTTCAGCTGTGTAAAAAACAGAAAATCTTTCTTACGATGCAAGTGATTATAATTTAGTTAGCATTAGAACCATTTTCAAGGTTCCTGCATAATGTGAAATTAAATGTCATTAGTCATGCAATATGAGCTGAAAGCTATACCTAACCCTAAACAGGGTTTTTTTATATAGGATTTTTTTCCAGGCTAAAGGTTTCACAATATTCTGCGTAACAACTACTATATTTGTTTGATTACATTTTGAATTCATCTGGTTGCACTTACTCCTCTTAAATTAAGCAATTTCTTTTTTTGTGTTTATGTTAAAAATGAAACAAATACAATATGAAGAAATTACTGTTGATGGGAAAAATACAACATTGCAAATACAGTTTAGTCTTAAAAAGTGAATGAATGATCATGTAAACATTAAAACCCCTTTTAAGTACTTGTGAATAATGTGAAATAAATGTTATTAGTTGTGCAATGTAAGTGGAAAGCTAATCCTAGCCTTACATGGTGGCTTATTAAGATAAGATTTTTTTCCAGGTTAGAAGTTCCACAATAATCAAGTTAATTATTACTAAAGAAGATTACATTTTGTGTTTGTGTTTCTTTATTAAATATATTTAACGTCTAGACTGTGTTTATGTTAAAATTTAAAGTTCTGTCAAGCAGAAATTGCTTCAGGTGGACACAGTGAAAGACAATAGTTATGTATTTTGATTTGGCCAGATCTAAAAACACAATGGACATTAAACAATAGAAAACTTTCACTAGGGACAACAACAGCCAATATTTGAATGGGAATGTTTGAAATACTGGGTGGGGGGAAGGATGCTTGAGATGAATGTGAAGAGAGGTGTTTGAGTTCGGTATATATGGCTAATTTTGTAATGACCCTGCAGCTGTATGCGATTCACATGTTGTTGTTATTCCTTCCAAACTTCAATTAATAACTTCCATTTAGTGCTGAATGAGGGGATGAACATGCAAGTAAGTGCCATTTGCCACAGCCACAGTTTCAGAAAACTCAATCAAGAGCAAGAGGACAGAAATCGTTTTCCGCCTTTCTCAAGTCTCACAATGAAGACCTGCCCTCCGAGCAGGTGCTGAAAGGGTTTGCCTCCACCAAAGGGGGCGGGGGGTCATGTTATTAATCTGCTGGGTATAGTGACAAAAAAGACCAGTCCCACATGAACACAAAACCCGCCTGGAAAAAGTCCAACACTTACACAGAGCGCTGGTGTGAGGATCAGGTGCAGGACAGCCAGGAGCAGCAGCGCCAACATCTCCTCTGAAACACAGGACAAGCGGCTGATCTAACAGTTCGCAGGCCAACAGAAAATCATCACATCCTTGCACGGGCCAGCAATGAATCTGCTTGACATCAGACCCATCACAGACCACGGAGTTACAAGTACAACTACAAGCAGGTGGAAATATTAGAATGTAGCCTTTTTTGCACTAAACAAAAATAAACTGTCATCAAACTTTACATCTGGTTTACTATTACAATTGATGGGTCATGCTAAGTGGGAAAAAAATGCCCAAGCAGAGCTTTTCTAGTTCAGACAAAATGACAAATGATGCAAGCTGTAAACTAACCACAGTAATTCTCTTAAACAGTGTGCCAAGTGAATGGGACCACTATGGACCACTGGCAGTGTGGTTCATTGACCCACTACAGAAGCTGAAGGATTCTAGACTTTAGGATTAATGGACTCCTCTGTCAAACTGAGAGGAGCTGTGAAATTATACTTGTGAAGGTAATAATAGCCCATCTCAAATATCACTGAATCACAGTATAATGAACAATCAAATGTATTTCATTGGAAATGTGCCGTGCAACCTGTAACCCAGCAAAAAGTCACACAATCAAATGTAAAACTAAATTTAAAAAATCTGTTTTTTTACATACAAAGGAAGCCATGAGCTTGTGGAAATTTCTTCAGCTGAATGTTTTCTAAACAATAATACCCATAAGACTGATGAGAACTCTATAAAACTTTCAAGGCAGTGTAGCTTTTTTACTTACAATCCTTATACTCAAATACATATTTTGACAGCAAAGGATAATTTCAGACTTGCAAGTTTGGTTTAATTGTCTGATGTAATGACATTCTTGTCCTTGTTTCTATGAGGGAGATAAGATAGGTTGACATGTATGTAGTCTGGTGGTGGAGTATGTAGACTGAAAAACAGAAAGAAGAAAAACAGCAAGAAGATCAGACACCTAGGAAAGGCTCCACACACATAGTCGAAATGTAGTGTTTTTTATCACTCTTCAATGTGGAAAAAACCTCCACTTTTTTTCCATAGCTACAAGTTGAAGCAGCTTCACCTCAAAACTTGTGCAGTGAAACCCACTGCAGCTTTAAACATGTTGTTCCAAAACATTTTAATTGTACCCAATTGGGCATCACCAATTATGTCTCGGCCCACCCACCTTATCAAACCATTTATCGTCTAATAGACAGCAAGCGCCGCCGGGACTTATAGATGTGTTAGTGCTGGATGGAGGAGGGGCGACACAGTGGTGTAGGGGTTAGTATTTCTGCCTTGCAGTGCTTGGGCCCTGGGTTCAGTTCTTGAGGTGCTATCTGAATCAGGTTTGTATGTGCTTTCCATGTTTGAGTGAGTTTCCTCCCCCAGTCTGAAGACATGCTGGGAGTTTAACTGGCTTCTAGGAAAACTGGCCCTAGTGTGAGTGTGTGCCTGTTTGTGTCAGCATGTGCCCTGCAATGGACTGGCGTTCTATCCAGGGTGTATCCCACCTTGCTCTCTGGCCCCCCGGCAACCCTGTATTGAATAAAGAGTTTAGAAAATGGATGGTCCACAGAGAAACTACTGGTTTGTGATCCTGCCGCCATGTCATGATTGATTTGGACACTTACGATAGCCATCATGTACTTTGAAAGCCAGTTACAGCTGTTAATTCCATGGGCACTAGCTGTATGAACTCATTGTTAATTTAGAGCCTCTTAACAGGAATTACAGTGCTTTACAATGGCAGTACCCCATCTTAAAGGGCAGTCAGCTGAACTTGTTTCACATTTTTTCTACATACATCTTGCCTGAAGCTTGCAGGAAGTCCAGATCTTTGAAATTGCAAATGTAAGTGTGAGACTCACCTAGAATCTCTTAAATACTTCTAAGATGAGTTAATGTTCAATAAAGTTCCAGATTACTTCTCAGTATAGTTTAATAAACCTATAATAAATATTTTAAATTCATCAAACATCAAAAGTATTAAAAAAACACCATTAAGAACCCATTACATATACTGTACATCTTATACAGTAGCAGGATTAGGCAACACACACTTATTAAGATAATATCTGGTATACAAGATCTAGCATATTCATTCAGTTAATTGTTAACTTTTTCACTTCTAATACTAATAATACTAATAATAATACTAATAATGAAAAGGATTCTCAAATTTCAGATATTTCATTTGCTTTAAAGCAAGGGAATCAAGCTCTCAATCCCAGGAATCTGATCAATCCAAGTAAGACAACCTGAAAAATTAAGATCTCCCCATTTATAGATAGATAGATAATACTTTATTAATCCCGTAGGGAAGTTAATTTGCCTTGTATTTTACATTACTGTTTGACAGTTATTCTCTGTCACATTGGGCAAAATGTATAGATTAGCATCATAGAATTATACTGTAAATTTACAAATTCTTTTGATTTGGCAGTTTTACCACAATAATTATTTTTATAAACCTTTTGGCCACTGCTTTACACCAACCAAAAGAACACCAAGACATTCCAGAATGGGGAAAGAGCCTTTGTCTCTTTGAAATGTAACCCAAGCTTTTGTTCCCCAAGAGCACACATGGAGACTGCAGTAAAGGCCTGGGATGTAGATGCTAAATTACTTTCAAAACATCGTGCAATTAAACAATACTAAAGCCAAGGAGAGCACTGATCAACATCTTGCCAGAATGCAAAAAGTATAAAAAGTGTTTTAACATACTGTAGAAACCACAGGTAGAACGCAGATGCACAACTGAGATTGCTTACAATTGTGGGTCGACATATCAGAACAGGTAACAGCTTAAAAACTGCTGTTTTTGGCATTGTGGTTGCTGGTTTAAAAAAATGTCTCAATCGAAAACAAAAGAAAAAGATCGGGGTGAGAGAGTGATTGCTGGGCAGGAAGGACAAGGGTTGTTTGGAAAGAGGATTAAGAGGACCAGGATTACAAAATGAGCACAAATAAAAATCCTGGGTAAGAATGGATTAACATCTTTTTAATGGCCTTTTGGGAAAAGTTAAAATGGTCATTTCAAATATCAGGGAGAGGTTTAAATGTAATGTTATACAAATATTCTGAACATGGTAAGAAAAATGAATACATACAGTACAGTACCATATTTATTGTAAATGTTCAAATGAAAAACGTTTTTGCTTACTAATGTTATTGGAAGTTGTGCAACAGCATTTACAGATTCTGCCTGCTACATGACTTTACCTTTAACTTTGGTTGGAACTGATTGAATAATGCTATGGTATAAAGTTGCTTCTATCAAAATGAATCTTCCAACAAAATTCCAGCATCAAAGTGACATGAAAGCTACTTTTTCAAGCTACATTCTACATTTTTTGGCAGACTAGTTTCCCTCGGGCTTAAGAGTGTTCACCCACTAAAAAACTCAAGTTCAATTTAAAAAAAAAGATTTCTAGGAAATAGACCTGAGAAACAGCTTTAAGAAAACCACTCACAAAATACTGTACATAATACGCTTTCTAGGTCTCTGCTCCTCTGTGTTTAAAGGCAAAGGGTTAAAAGTGCAATTCATGCATTTTACAGTAAGCACTACATGTTGAGGACCAATACCTCATACCACAAATTGTAAAATCTAAGTACAACGATTCTTAGGTTCTTAAAATAGTTTTCTGGATGTGGGAATCAAAGAAGAATGGGAAGACTGATGTCTGAAATCACTACAAGCCTTGGATGACTCACTCACGGAGGCACAGGTTATGAAACTTGAGCTGGAAACAGTGCGGATTCAAGGGTGGTGCAAAACTTTGTGATCATCTTGATCATCGTTCTTATAATTCACACACAGTCGTGCAGTAGAAGTCCCTCAAGATAACTCTGGACACTGAATGAAAACTGCACTATGTGATCACAGATTTAAAGCCTAGAGCAACTGGAGGGAAGATCAAACGCTTTTTAGCAGCTTCCCCAAACTGTCACTGTTGTCCTTCACGAATGTGATCCATGGCATTATTCTAGAAGAAACATGCCCAATGTGCTGCCCTGCACATCTTTCCTTACTTATTCATTCTCCTTCCTACACTGTGGCCTGGATAAGAGCATCAAACTAATCCATATGAACTTTAGTCTGCCTCTGGTGTCACGCAGCAGGAGTTACAACATGACTCATCATAAGCTTCTGAAAGTTATTTCAATCAGTTACCATGTGGTTTTTATTAAGTGTTTTTTTAAATAATGACAAAAACCATCCCCCTGTGGAGAAGGCAAATCAAAATTAGCTACTTCTTTCTTCCCCACACTTTTACCATTCCTTAACATATAATTTGCACTGTAACCAAACTATAATAATTTTACAGTTCAGGCAGTGCGAAAGCATCTTTACATTGTAAACAATGATTACTGTATATACCTGCGTTAATGACTTGCCATTCTCTGCATGCTAGAAATGTCTAAAATGTACACTGCATTCTAAATAGAAGTCACTGAAGCTGATAGTTAGAAAAAAAGAGTACTGCAATAATGAGCAAAGTAGGTTACAAGACAATGTGGAATTAAAAATATATGACAAAAATAGAAAACATGCTGAATATTTCATAGATTTTCACAACACAAGATGTCAAAAACATGGTCTGACAAAGGCTGTGTTTTTTATGCAATTGCCACAGACAAACCTCTGTCGGTACTGAGTAATTGTAGCAGAATTAACTGAGGATTTAGAGGAGATGTGCTGGATTATAACTAATAAATCGCTGGGGCATGATGCTACTCCCTTCATACTTAAGGTAATCCATCCACCCATTTTCGAAACTACTTTTTTAAGTACAGAGTTGCAGGGCACCCTGGAGACTAACATTAGGATAGGATACATCCTGGATGGGACACAAGTCAATCCCAGGGCACAAACAATCATATGCACACTCACGTCAGGGCCAATTTTCCCAGAAGCCAATTCACCTACCGGTATGTCTTTGGCCTGTGGGAGTAAACCAAAGCACATGGAGAAAACCTACACAAACCCTAGGAGAACATACAAACTCCACACGGATAGCACCTACCCTGGCTCCGTACTTATGGAAACAAGGGATGTAAATCAAAGACCTTTATTAAACTAAGATATTTCAGCTCTCACTAACGATATGAGTAGTACCCTCAAATTGGGGAATAAACCATTTAGGGAACAGAGATTTAAGAAAAGTGGAGTTCTTGTTAAAGTTACTAGAATTCTTTTAACAAGTGAAGAGGAAGTTGATAATACTAACCTATGTGATATGGAATTTTCAGAGCATTTTAGAAGGTCCCATATAAAATGTTAACTTATATATCAGACTAAAATCTAAAAATATTAAATTAATTACACCTAATTTATTTAATGCAGTCTTACGCATAACCAGTACAAACCGTTAAATAAATAGGAAACAGGTAGTTAACCTCTAATCACGCAGCTGTAAGCAGAGGTAACAACTGTAGGTATGGTGCTTTACCGATCTATATTACATTCTGATACAGTTAGAAAACTTGTCAAATATAGAAATGATACAAGATAGTAGGAGAGGTAAATAGCAAGAACTCCAGCAAGGCCTTCTCAGAAAGATTCAGATGAAACCATGGGCCGATACTTGGCAAATGAAATCAAATGTTGACAAGTGACCAGGAAGCAGAAACAGATTATACTGTACGCATGGGTGATTCTGGGCTACAGGACATTTTTTAGTTTAACAGTTTTTATACAGATTCCTCACTATGCCTTCATTAAGACATTTTTGGGAAGTAGTAGAAAATACAAACCAAAATGCTTGGGTAGAAAAATTCCATAAAGCGTGTAATTACCAATGCTTTAATAAGACCTTGTGTACTGTTAGGAATACAGTATGGTTTTCAGTTTTGATCACCATAATACCAAAAGGATATTATATCCTAAGAAAAACAAAAAGGTGCAACAAAATTAATTTGGATTTCAGGTAGCTGGTGCATATTGACAGGTTAAAGGAACTAAATATCTTCAGTTTAGAAGACATCTATCAAATCTTAAGAAGTATAGACAGGGTCAGCTTAGAAGACTACTTCAGACCCCGCAGCGAAACCAGGACACAATACCATGACTGGAAAATGAAAGCAAATTCTTTAAGGAAGAAGAACAGGAAACACTTCCATCACTCAAAGAGTTACCATGGTTTAGAACAGACTTCTCAGCCCGATAGTAGAGGTCCAAAGATCCACTGGATTACTAAAGTACCATACAGCATAGCTATAAACTTTTTTTTGTGGATTATTTTTAAATTAATTATGACACAAGCCCTGGCATCGATCACTGTAGGAATTCAGTTCAAATGTTCAACTATTCAATTCCCCCTGAAGACTATTTTGTATTGAAGAATATTTACTCATGTGTCAAGAAAGCAGTTTCCTAAATGAAATATTTGTATGTCGTCAACAAACAAGCTATTGGAGGTTGTTCTGTATATTGTACTTTGTATTGAATGAAACATAACCCATTACCAAGCATGGCACAATGTTGCAAAACGGTTAATATTTGGAGTGGCACTCCATTTCAAGCACGGCTTGCGCAGTCAGGTCCGCAGTACTTAAGCGTAACTTTACATTGAAATAAAATATTTAAACAAGCCCATAACAAACATGTGGGGCCCCAGCATTTATTCAAAAAGTTTAATAATGCTGTTTTCATTTTAAAACCACAGTTGTACCTTATTAATTAATCGTTATTAATTTCATAACGAAATGTCAGGTTGAAATATACGAAAATAAAACTGCACTAGCGCGTTTGGTATATGAACTACCGTTGCACGCTGCTTTCTTAAGCATGGGACTGATTTTCATGGTACTTTAACCATTGAACTACTTTACGTTATCAAGATTACTTGTTTTCGCCACGAACGCGTTAACAATAAAAGAATTAGGACATGTGTTTTTATTTGTTAGATTCATTTTATAGTTACGGTGTATTTCTTTGCATCCTAATGCCTTTTGTTTTCAAAGCTAGTACCGTGAAAAGAGACAGTTAACTTACCGATTTAGCTGTTCTCCTTGCGAGCTCTCAGAGCACCTGGAGAGTTTCGCACAGCAACACATAGGTCCTAGTAAGTCACTCATATATTATGCTAATTCATACCTCTGAACTTCAGTGCAAGAAAAAGAGTCAAGTTACCTTTAACTCCTTCAGCTGGGCATTTCCTTTTGGCAAGCCGATAACATTCCCGCAAGGCTTTTTTTTCTTTTGTGAGAAAGATGATGCGGGAAAAGATGTGCTTTGAATTACAGAGTGCTGAGTTCGAGTAAATACAATACGTCACACAAAAGACTTTAAAAGCCCTGCACGCCCACTCCGAGGCTCTGTAGTGACGGATGAAGTGTTTTTACAGTAAAACTGTCGAAGAGTTCGTCAATCCATTCATTTGGTTGACAGGGCCATATTAGTTAAGGAAAAGAACATAACCCTGCATATATTTCCCGAATAAAATTAGAAATTATACTATTCTTTGAAAAAAAAAAACTTGTAAATTTTGCCGAAGATTACTTCATCTGGTAGTTTGGGGAATTATTATTTGTTCGCATTGTAATTGTATATGCCATTGATCATAAATGTCCTCTTTAATTGTGAATGTTGGTACATCTGTTAGATCATGTTTATGAATTATCAGTTTATTCATATACAGTACATCCACACACCATTGTCAGGAGTCCCTGGTGTTGTGGACCTGCTGAATGTAAAACCTACAGAAAAAGATTACTTTACAGGAGTCTATCTTTGTATTTCACCGCATGTCACGAGTGACGATAAACGGCACACCACATCCTGTTTGGTAAGCTGATGAAGATCAGGGACCAGACCCAGAGAGGAGCCGTTTTGTATGAGCAGCCAGTTAAACCAACCAATACGTCTTTATGAAGTTAGGAGCACCTGAAAGAGACTTAAGCACTTATGTGGAGGGCATACAGACTCCCCACAGACAGATACAGTCATCAAACCCACATTCCTAGAGCTGTGAGGCAGCACTGCCAATCACTATGGTGTTCAGTCTTACATTGCATTTAAGGATAAACATTAAATGCAAAGCTGTTGGAGCTGTGCATTTGGAGGTGTCTACTTGTTTAGTGATTGGTTGCCAGTTTTAACAACATTTATTCATTCACACCTGGTGGAGATGGATGCTGTTGTAATACAGAGCAGATTTAAGGTTCCTTTTAATAAACACATAATATAAGGAGACCTGAACTGGGGCTGCTACAGGGTCAAATACCCTGGATGGATCATGGATCATGACCATATGTATGGTTGTGTGGGGATATTTTAGTATTATTAACAAAGGCCAATGCATGGTAACTGAGAGATGTAAGAGATGCATGCATTCCTCCTGGCACATTTTCAGAGGGTACGATCTACACATGCCAGTATTACCATTTTTTAAACTTAAACATCAATAGACAAAAACACCCGCACGGATCATCACTAAAAAAAACCAACATTTGAGAATTACAGTATTTGAATAAATGCTACAAACATGTTCACAAACATGAATCCGGAGCTTGTAAAATGCCCCTTAAAGGAAAAGTTTTGCCACCTTCTCTTGCCCAGTCTTTCGGTACCTGGCTGTATTCTTCCTTGCCCGTAACATAAACTGGAGTGTCTGCAGCTCCTCTGTGGCTCTGGGGTAGCTGGGACAGCAGCACTACAGCATTGTGGGTACTGGCCCAAGGACAGCACTGGCACGGATTCACTGCAGGTCTGGACTTCAAAGATAAGAGTTTAATTTTTCTCAACTACATTCTATACTGAGCATAGCAACACAATCAGACAACTTCTAGAACTCAGAGACTCTCTGCTAGGGAGGAATGTTAGGTATAATTTATAGCAGTCATGCACAGCAATCTGTTATTGACTAATTATTAATGGTTACAAAATGATGGCTGCAATCAATGCCACTCTGTTTTGCCCTCCCAGGCTCAGATAAAAGGAAAACAAAACTGAAATCACGATATGAAAATGCAGAATTAAAAACTATATTATCGCAGCTAGTCTCGGCCCTTCAATAAAACCTGAAATAAAAAAGACAGAATCGCGAACGTATCGCCAGGACGCAATTAACTGCCAGCAGGGTAGTCACTGTGCTCAGCAGAAAGTGGCCAGGGGAAAGTAGTCATGTTGCTGCCTCTCTCATTTGTCTAGACTTTCAGAGATGTATTTAGCACACTTATCAGCCTTGTGTAATAGTTGTTTATGGACTGCTCCCTCTGGGGGAATAAAGGGAAAGGTTCTTGAACTTGGAGGGGAACTGCAAACTGGGCTGCTGTGCTTCAAACACATCTGCACGTCTTCTTTCAGCAGGATACAACTTGGTAAGCAAAGTCAAATGCCGAGCTTACTAAAGCACAAACACAGCTAAGGGAACTCAAGGTTTAGAAAACGGCCAAGGACACCAAAACAACACACTGTTCAGACATTTTGCAACAGAGCAGTTTTTACGCAGAGGAAAAGTACTTAATGTTTTGTTCAATTGTTAAATCCAATGGGATGCACCTTTTCCCCATCTTTGACATATGATTAATTACACACACAGTCCAGAAATCACAGACTCAGGAAGGGGCTGAACACTGTGGTCAGGTTGCCCTTGACGTGCCACGCTGAGCTGCTGGATGCCTGTCACTCTCATTGTCTTTAAAAGCCCTGCTCCTCCTCCAGTGGAAACACCATACAGCACTCCTGCAAACACCCCACTCCACCCTCTCCCCCCACACACAAACACCCCACTGCACACCACACATAAACACCCATCTCCACCCTGTCACCCCCACACACTCACCACTTCACCCCACAAACAAACACCCCACACCAACCTGTTAATTTATTAAAGGGTAACACTTTTAATGGTCTCTACTGTGGTAGAACCATAATAATGTAATGAAAGCTTTTAGCACCTTCGTCCCTTAAAGAAAGCACATTTTGATGATTACGTAATAAAAAGCTATTCTTGCCAGCCAGATTAACATCTTAGTCTCCACCCTTATTGGCTCAAAGTTTACGTCTTTTATTGTAGCAGCTCAGGATCTCAAGTTCCTGGTCCAGCAACGTCATTCAAACATGCCTTTTGTTTGGACAAATTCTTTTGATTAAATTCATGAGCTCATCTTTCCTTTTTCCGTTTTACAGGCCATTACATAATTATGAAGAGGTCTTTAAAAAAAGTTACAATAAAGCTAATAATTAAATAAGTTAATTATTCTGTATTATTTTGATCTCCTGTGCATATATAACCAAGCCCTAAAAACAATTTTACTCTTTACTATTTGACTCTTTTCAAGTGGGATTTTAATATTGCATTTCTTGGCCTTCCTAGCTGGAAAGAAACTTTAATTCATGTTGCACCACGTTTCCCAAATATGTTTGGCTTTAATTACAAACAACAGAAGTAATGAAAAAGGGTGGGTTTTTGTTTTGCCTTTCCTGGTGTCATGCGTACTGAATTTGGCCCATATTCTTAAAGCAGCAGTTTCATTTGTTTGACGACAGCTGTGTTTACAGAGCTAGTAACATATTCCAGGGTGTTTTCCTTCTCTTTATTCCAGCAGCACAGACACAATAGTGTGGATCCCTTTCTGGACTGCTGGAACAGAATGAAGTCAGTTGGGAGTGAGGAGAGTTGCGTTACGGCGCCTCCAGCTATACTGTATTCTCAAGTTATTGCTTTAGCATCTAGTTTCACTACACTGGCAAATGTTTATAGCCTCAGGATTTTGCTGTGGAGCAAAATGGGCAACGTGCCATCCAGTATTTGTGTGCAAAAGCCCCAGACTGAATACATGTGCTCATGTGCTGTAACTCTGATGTCCCCATCTCTGAACTCTGGAGCTCTGAACTACATTAGATCTGAATTCATACTCCAATATATACATATATTGGATGAAAGAAACCTCATCCCCCCAGGAAACACAACTCTTAATTAACAGATTTTTCAGTTTTTTACTTCCTGCTGTCTGAACTGTTGGTATCTGGCATTCATGTAGGATACAGAGAGAGTAGTCGAATCCAAATCATATTCTCTTTCAATCTCAGTCCTGAGCAGGCAGTCTCACTGTTTTTTCTTAAAGCAGCTTCTTCAAGGCGATGGTATTCAGGATGGTCAGTCAGGCCGAGTGGTCGTGGAAGATAGTAGACTATGGATTTTTCCCAGCATTTGAAAGCTTAAACACTCATCATGGAGTAATTAACAGTCCATTGTCCCTAGTTTAGTTTCCCCCGACACATCCACACTCTAGAGCCAGAAGGACTATCCACATTGCTCAATGAAATTATCAAGGATGACTTTGCCCTTATGATATGTGCAATATTTATGTTGAAGTGTCTGCAGATAGATTATACAGTCCAAACCCTGTTTCAATCCTTCTCTTGGGTGAGCTGCATGTCCTGTCTTTTGGGAGAAGCTAACCTGGATCCTTCCTGTTTTTCACAATGTTTCACAACCTCCCATGCCAAGCAGTGTGTATCTTGTAGGTTCCCTATGGATAAATGAGGGATTTTCTGTGACTTTGATTATTAAAGTGTCACCTGTCCTGCCAGTTTTAATTGAATCCAACTGTTTGCAGACACAAGAGACCCTTTGCCTACATTATCATATTTTGTGTTCTTGGCTTGCAGTCTGGTACACACGCCAGCCATGTAGTTCCCAAAAGAAACACTTTGAAATGTCCTGGTTATTGAAGTAATGTCGCTTGCTGTTTTCAATAAGTAGTTTCATTTGACTAAAGCACAGCGAATTTTTTTTTCTCTTCAGAACATCACATTAATATTATTTCTCTTTTTATAAGCCAACACATGAGCACAAATCACCCAACAGTCTATACTAGTTTCAGCCAAGCTCTGCTGTCTTTACCCACCACTCAGCCCCACTCAATGCTTCTCTAGCTCTGAACCTCACTGCTCTTCCTGCTAAGACTTTACCTAGCCATAAAATAAAACTCAGTGAATATATCATAAAACACAACACAGACAGACATGTCACAATGGTGCTAAAGTGTTAATGCAGCCATGTTTGTGCCCTGTAAACCTTGTCTCCCTTGTCTCCGTTATCTCCTCTGTTGGCTGTTGTATGCGCAGGTTTTCCCAGCTTGGCCTCCCTTGTCCTCTCAGAGCTGCCGGTTGAGTTTCTGGGCCTGTCTCTCCTTGGCCTCGAAGGCGAACTTGGTGTCCTGAAGCTGGACGATGGTCTCCTTGGCCTCCCTCATCTCCTGGCTCAGCTGGCTGTACTTGTGGGCCAGCTCCTTGTTCTCCCTCCGCAGCTCCAGCACCACCTGGTTCAGCTCCTCGCTCTGCTTGCTGCAGCGCGTCTTCAGCTGCTCCACCTCCGACAGCATCACCTCCATGCTCTTCACCAGCGCTTCCAGTTTCTCCTTCGACATCCTGCCTCGGGGGTTTTTCCGAGTGCCGGTTTTCTGCGTCGCTACTGAGCAACCTGGAGCCAAAGCCTGAGTTGCCTTTCTGTTTAACAGCTAAAGCTGTGCTCACATAACTCCCCCTAAGCCTTCCACAGCACGAGCTCCTTATCCCACTGCTCTAATCCACTTTAGGATGCTATATCAGGAGTTGCCCACTCAGATAAATCGAGGCACCTCAGATCACAGAGGTTGAGTGAAATACGTACTACCTGCCTATCTCTTGCCGCTTGAGCTGCAATTTCGATAGATGGTGTAATTTGCTTCCCCTTCAGAAAAGAACTTAAACTTGAACTTTACAGCCATATGTCACCACTACATGTACTGGTTTAATGGAATTTTTACTTACAGAAAGTCTGTCGATTATTAAAAAAAAGTGTAAACAATGACTGCAGATGAGCAATAAATAAAATTACAATGAGGTAGATGGTGTAGCTGTGGTCCAAGGGGCATGGTCAAATGTGTTCACCAATCGCACTGCTTGTGGGTAGAAGCTATTGAAGAATCTGGTGGTAAGTGTCCATATGCTCTTGTATCTCTTGCCTGAGGGCAGTGGGGTGAAGAGCTCATGCCCGGGGTGGTGACTGTCCTCTGTGCTGGCCAGAATTCTACCACTGCAGTGGTCCTCATAGAGCTGTTTAATCTGTGAGACCATGGCCAATGATCTTCTGGGCCACATCCACCGTTCTCTGCAGTGCCTTTCTCTCTCAAGAACAGGTGTTGCTGTACCCCACAGTGACCCCGTTGGTGAGGACAAGCATGTCAGTTGGAAGTTGGAAGTTTCATTTCACACCTCTCTGCACCCATTCTGACTTCACACCTCTTGATTGGCCTCTCTTTCTGTCCCCTGCTCCCGCCTCTCACTCCTCCTCCCTCTCAACCTTTGTTCTCCCGCTACTTTACCTTTGCCTACTGCCCTGTCTCTCTCACACCTGAAGAAGGCTCCACGGCCGAAACGTGTTCTCTTTCTTCTTTTTTTCAGCATGGAATAAACCTATTACTTGTTCATCTAAATGTAAGGGCTGCTGAGCTTTTTTACTGAGCCAAATCGTATGATTAAATGCTATTACCTCTCCTAGGCAGAATGAGATCCGAAGACAGGGCTGCTGATGAAACGTGATGAAACACAAGGAAGCTAGGGATAGGTTCCTGTAAAGCTACTTCTTCATGAACATTATGAGCCTGACAAATGAATGCCCTGGATGAGACAGACCACTGACAGAATGCTAATCATTTAAGCTTCTTTTGTTAAAGAATGGTAGTGCCGACCAGAATGAACTGCTGGTCGCAGCTTACTAGGCAAAGTAAAGGTTTCATATTGATGTACATGACCTTACAGATCCAAAGTGTTGAGTATAAAAAGGGAAGGTGAAAAATACCTATTTCATGGGTTTTTTTCATGTATTTTTTATGGCTTCAGGGAATAATATCATATGCATCCTCATTATTATTATATCATTATGCCACATCTGGAGGCTGTGGCAGGGATTTCAGTTAATCACAGGCTATAAGTGCTGCAGCCAGGAGATTGATTTGAACAAAACATCACTGTCTGATGAGCTGAACCATTTCTATGCCCACTTTGATTCCCTGAACACCGACAGTGCTGAGAAGGCCTCAGGCGTGCAGGGCAACTTTGTTCTGAAACTCTCGGAACAGGACAAGCAGAAGACTCTGAGCAGGGTGAAAATCCGTAAGGTTGCAGGGCCTGATGGGATACCACCCTGCATCCTCAGGATATGTGCATCCCAGCTGACCACAGTGTTTACAGACTTCTTTAACTCCTCCCTGTCACAGTCCATTGTCCCCTAATGCTTAAAAAAAACCACCATGGTTCCACTCCCCAAAAAGGCAAAAGTAACGTGCCTGAATGATTACTGAACTCTGTCTGCAGCAGACTGCTGGACTTCCTAATCGAGAGACCACAGGTGGTCCGGATAGGTAGTAAACCATCAACACCTCTCACCCTGAGGTTGGGTTGGGACAACACCGCTATAATAGGCCTGATCAGCGATGATGATGAGTCCACTTACAGGGATGAAGTCGTACAGCTGCTGAGGTTGTGTCACAACAATAACCTGGACTTGAACGAGAGTAAAACAAAAGAACTAATAGTGGATTTTCAGAGCAAAGGCCGCACACTCACAGCCCACTCAGTATTATTAGAACGGAAGTGGAAACAGTCACCAGCTTAAGCTTAAGCTTAAGGAAGAAGGCTCCACGGCCGAAACGTTGTGTTCTCTTTCTTCTTTTTTTCAGCATGGAATAAACCTATTACTTGTTCCTTTGAAGCCTACGCATGCTGACGCAGCTACCCACCTGAACTACTACCGCTTACATTTAGATGCTTTGTATTCTCTACTTATTGATCAAATTAGGTTTGTGTTTATGTTGACCCATGTGGTGTTCACATTAAGCTTAAATGGCTATGCTCCACAGCTTTTTAAAGAAAAAAAAGGAAGATTGCTATTTAATCAGCATCAACTCTTGGATGAAATGATAGATGAAATCATTGAATCAATTTGCATAACAGTACAGTATTTACTTGTATGTTTTCTACCATATATCTCCACTCCAAAGCACTTTACAGGTAATGGGGACTCCCCTCCACCACCACCAGTGTGCAGAATCCACCCCGATGATGCGACGGCAGCCATAGTGCGCCAGAACTCTCACCACACATCAGCTATCAGTGGGGAGGAGAGCAGAGTAATGAAGCCAATTCATAGATGGGGATTATAAGGAGGCCATGATTGGTAAGGGCCAATGAGAAATTTGGCCAAGATGCCGGGGTTACACCCCTACTCTTTTCGAGAAACGCCCTGGGATTTTTAACAACTACAGAGAATCAGGACCTCGGTTTTACATCTCATCCAAAGGACTGTGCCTTTTTACAGTATAGTGTCCCCTTCACTATACTGGGGCATCAGGACCCACATAGACTGCAGGTGAGCACCCCCTGCTGGCCACACTAACACCTCTTCCAGCAACCTTTTTTTCCCCAGGTCTCCCATCCAGGTACTGACCAGGCTCACACCTGCTGAGCTTCAGTGGGCTGGCAGTTGGGAATTGCAGGGCGATATGGCTGCTGGCTACTGCTGGAATTTCTGAATTCCCCCACCCACTGGGTTTCAACTTAATCCACCTCCCGCCTCTCAGATATAACAAAACACTTGGAAAGCTGCACTAATGGAGCAATGTGTAAACTTCCAGCCTGTTGAAGGTACGTGTCAAGTGAGGCTGAGAGTTTTTCTTAGAAGGAAAGTCTTATAGAAAAGCGAGCCTGTTTTACTGCAGCAATCCAATTTATTGGATCAGCGATCCCATTTTTTGGCTAACAAATGGATGTAGCAAAAGCGTCTAGAACAAAGAACACTGCAAGGCGATGGGACTAATCACACTTTCTTTAATTGCAAAAAAAAAAAGATTGAAACTGTATCAAAATTCTAAACATCCTGTAGTTATAAATTAACAATTCGGAACAAGCAGCCTGAAGAGAATCAGACCAGGATTATAAATCAGCAACTTCCTATTTACAGACCAGTGTTGGTAGACAGAAAAATAATCAGAGCACGTGGGAATAGGTATAGTGTTTGTGAAGACTCTGTAGACACTCACTCAATGCTACTTCTTCCTGTGCTCTTGTAAATTCTGTTTGGTTACAGTCAGAAGATCCTTGAAATAGGACAGACAAATGGGATTTCGACACTGGGGAGAAGGCTCTCTCACCGTTTCTTTCCAAAGAAATCTTCCCTAGCAGATACTGCTAGGCACTGTGTACACTTCTCCTTTCTACCCTTAAAAGATTAGAACTATGTATCGATACAGCACCACACACAGATGGGGTAATAAGAGAAAAGGTGGATGTAAACTATAGAAGAGGAAAGGGAACCAAATGTATGAAAAAAAATTAAAAGACTAAAGTGTAACATTAAAAATATCTATCAAAGTGAAGCCTTAGACAAAAGAAAACACATGACTTTCAAGTAGCCTCATACCAGTCAGGATGACATGTTAGGCAACTCATTTCTAAGCAATACATGTGCAGCTGCACATTTATTGAATCTTTGAATTGTGCAGTTTTCGAAACATTCAAACCAACTGTACTGCAAAATGACGTGCAATGAATGAGTAAAAATACTGAACCTGAATGACACTGAAAGATAGGTGTTTGAATTAAATGAAGTTGCAGAGCTGTCACTGACGATACTGCCAGATTTGCTACGTCCAGTTATGCTCCAAGTGGTGCTCCAAGTAAGATGAGCCACTGCCTTTCTCCTCATCTCCCCCTACAGGTCTGTGGGAGGCTAAAAAGAGGATACTGCATATTGCTAAAGTGAGGTGCAGGTCACACGCCTATTGATCGTGACATGCTTGTAAGATTAAGAAGTTCTTATCTTTGATTAATAAATTACAGTCAGTGTTTCATTGAAAAATCACCCCAAGGTCACCTCAAGGTCTTGTTAGTTCCAGCGGAGCTCTAAATCCCTCAGTTGAATATTACTCAGCTTGCTAAACTGAACAATTCTGGTGCTTTTAAACAAGAGGATATTTAAGAACTACTAAAATTCCTGCCAGCCCTGCAGATCACCGGCTGTCCAATTCTGAAGATCTTGATAAAATGCCTTAACATCCATCCTGCCAGCCATGTTCTTCCAATACCCTGCTCAAGAAAACAAATCTCAGTGTACTTGTCCATTCCTTGATTTATTTTATAGTATTCCTTTAAAAAACTGCCTCAGTTCATGGAGTGGATTAGTGTTAAAAGGGAGTGGAGTAGAAGTCAGGTGTTTGCACACCTAAGTACAGAATCCAGTACTGCGAAGCTGAAAAGCAGCAATCTAAGTGAACTATCTGAACAGAACCCAACAGCCTAAACATCCGCACAGTCACTATCTTACCTCACGAAGCTTAAAATGAGGAAAAGCAAATGACTGTGCAGAAATCCACCTGACTGGTAATTAAACACACACTGGCAGGATGGCCAAGGCAGTGGGTATAGGGATCAAGTGGTCAGCTCCAGCGCTTCACTGTGCAGAAATGACACACAGGCAATCACACAATTAACCACTGGTTTCAACCACAGAGACCCTGAAATAAGACACCAAGGCCTGCAACAAAAAAAGGAGCAAACGACAAGAAATAATTAAATGTCCCGGGAAATGTGATAAGAGAAAATGACAGTGCTCAAACTACAGCTACTAAGCTGTAGTTAAGCATCTGGATATTGTAGGCTAATAAGAAAATACCAATGCATTTTATGCCTTTATGTCCAACCGTTAAGATCTCGAACGGATATAAAATGATCTTACATATGCAGTCACACAAAAACCTTATTTTGGGTATTGGACGTGATAAAACAATTTCAAATTCCTTTCAAAAGAACAATTCTCACACTTTTTTAAACATGGCAGAGCAATCAGAAAACCTCTCGGCTAGACATGTCCACTGTAAAACAGCTATTGAAACGGAATACAGAAATGTGATCGCAAGGTCATTTAAACTTTTTTTTCAAATTTCAGACCATTTGGGTCTGAGCTACTACACCAGCCCAACCAATTCAAGAGCTGTGCCTAGGAGTGAGATGAAATCTTTCTTAAAGCATTTTTGTACATATCGCCTTTGAGGGCAAGCGCATTTACAAAACCCTAAACATAATTTAGAATCAGGCAAGTGATGGAGGGCATTACATTGCAAGGTGATGATGAGGGGTTGAGATGGAAAGCCGTTAATCCATGCCCACCCTCCCTTCCATTCTTACCCGCCTCCCCCACCCCCCAAAAAAAGAATTCCTCCAGTCCAGTCCAGGAACAGACAAAAAAAAAATCTCAGAACCCCAAATGTCCCAGAAGTCCGCAGGAGACTGTGCAGAAGGCAGGGGGGTGAGGGCACCCATCCTGCTAGATGTAGAACTGGTGTAGTGCCAGCTGATCCATGAAAGGCCGCACCAGGTTGTCAGTAGCGAAGTAGAAGACCAGGCCAAAGGTGATGGAGATTGGCAGGGCTGGCAGGGCCTTCTTGAAGATGGCGAGGAGCAGCAACGTCAGGCACAAGCCCTGGGGAAGCAGGGATAATCCGTTACTCACTTCTGAAATGCCCAATCTTTCTCTAATGTTCAAGCGCAAGAACAGACAGGAATAGCCACTGCCAATGCTGCCGTTTCCCTGAAATCAGACTGAAACAGAAGAGGGACAACATCCCGCTGTCGGGAGTACAGAGGTGGACACAACACTGCTTTCTATAAAACAGAAAGTCTCAAGAGCTGAGGAATTATTGGATAACAAATGGCTAGAGCATCTACCCATGAACCTTAAAAAGAATGAAAACAGCGCCTTTAAAAAAAAAAGGAACTAGAATCTTTGTAAATAAAATGTTCTGCTTTTGGGATGAGCTCCTCCATTATAACAGAAAGTTTGAGTACTTTGTATGTGTGCCATGTTATGTCGGATATTAATATTCATGTCCCCAGAATAAGCTGAAGAATATCTTGACCAAATGTATATGCATAATATTTAAAACACAGTATGTAGTTTTATAGCACTGCACTGGCTGGGGATGGCAGAGGATTCTCTCTCTTTGTGATTTCAGAGATTTTACATAATCAATGACAACAAATACATTTCTAGCTATAGATAGCAACAGATATTTTTAGGAAGCAAGACAGAATGCATTCTCAGAAAGCTTTTGACAAAGCTCCACACAAAGCATTCTTGCATTAATGACTGTTAAATGGGCAGAAGACAGACAGTACTTATAACAGGAGCCAACTCTGACTGGAGTGAGGGCATTAGTGGAGTACTGCTACTATTCCCATTTTATACCACCGATTTAATCTCTGTTACAATAAGAAAAAGTGTCAGGCCTACAATGATACAAAAGTAGGTGGAGAAGCAAAAACTATTTCAACAATGCAAGTGCTTCAGGGAGACAGACACTATTCAGGGCAGGCAAATAAACTATAATATGGATAATTGCAATGTTGTATGTGCAGGTAACAGGAATGTTAGATTTTAAATAGGATGGTGCTGAGACAAAAGAAACAATACACAGAGAAAAAAATAGGAATTTATGTTGACTCATCACTTTGCTGAGGTCCACAGTGCAGTGAAGAAACAAAAGGCCAACAATATCCATATACAGACAACACCTACCATTTACAAAAAAGATGTTTAAAATGATACAATCCCACCAGTGAGCCTGGAAACGTGTTTTCAGTTCTGCTCACAATTTTACAAGACAAATAATCGCTGCTCTACAGGCAGTACAACCGAGAGCAACACGACTAGCTCTTCAAGGCATGGAAATGACACATTTAGACAAGCCTGGAATGCGGAAGATTTGGAGTCTCGATTCAGCAAGGCAGGATTCACGAGCGAATCCACGGACTATCTCTCAGGATCCCAGCCACCGCGAGGACTGGTGAACACTAAAGTGGAAATGAAGGTTAGGGTAATACGCACCAGCCCGGCACGAGGCGGGATACTCACGATCAGAATGGCCACGAAGCAGGCCAGCGTGGTGTTCCAGTCCCCGCTGGCCGTGGCCGAGGCCTTGCCCACCAGCACGCTGTAGAAGATGAAGTCCCCCAGGCCCAGCTTCACACCCCCTGGAAGACAAAGCGCGTCGGCGTCACCTACCCCCAGCTCTTTACCAGCACTCGGAGAACTCTCACATCCCAGCTTCTGCGGGGTACTTATGTGCTCTGGCTAGGGAATATAGGAGAAGCCCAAAAGGCCTTTAAATGCCCACACATTAGAGCTTGAGAAATGAACCACTTCTTTTCCCAAAAGAAAGTAAGACGCTTTCCTAACAACGTTCAAGTCACCATCCCCATGAAGTTGGGAAGATGTAAAGGAAAGAAACCCCCCCCCAAAAAAAAGATGAGGATACATTTAAAAGCAGGTAAAGGCAGTTGTGAACAAATTGCTTTGCAAGAAGCACTATTTGTATCCTTAGCTTGAGCAAACAGCAAGTCCCACTGAAACAGGGAACCATAACAAACATTACAGCCTCTCAGCCTAATCATAGCCCTGGGAGGGGTTTTACCCAATATTTGGGCTTTTAAGTACAGACAGAGATAGGAGCCTAGTAATTTCCACAAATTAAGAGTTCTTAATCTTTTATTACCAACTGTCCTTTCTGTGCCAGGACTCCACCCCTCTGCATAAGGCTTTACATTCCACAGTTTGGGAATATGCAAGAGTGCACAGGCCCCTCAGAAGAACTCCAGCCCAGACCTGTGAGGAAGTCACTCCTTTCATTTGCAAGCTCATTTGATTCCTGTAAGTCACGGCACAGCTCTACACCTTCTGAACTAAAACAGGGAGTTTCATACCCAGGTGTGAACCAGGTACTCCACAGGTATACAGGTATCCCACAATGAAAACTAAAGGAAAAATAACTCAGTTTTCAATTAAAATAGTAGGATTTGTGGGGGAAAAAAAGAAGCTCTGTAATTTATTACTTTTACTGGGGAATGCATTGAGATATCTTTGGATTAGAGAAACAGTCGTATTTTGTATGTTCTATGAGAGTTAAAATTTTCACTGGCTATTTCATAACAACATAACAAATTTGACCAAGGGATTGAATACACTCTTTGCTTAACTGAACTTCAATGAAATTGTTAAAATTCTATTTTGACCTGAACTGGAAAGAAAGTTTATTAACTCTCCATATCTAGGGATTTAAAGAAAAAATACTGAAAAAGAACATGGATTAATTATGACTTGTACATAAACAGCTGTCAATGTGGTGGACTATTTCAAGTATTCTGGGCACAGTGTTTTAGATTTTTTTTTAATGAACTGATTTAACATTTCACAGTAGCACTTACTACAGTATATGATACACCTAAACAAGTGATTATACCTCAGCACCCAACAGCACATGCTAACCTTGGTGCACTTGTCATGGAAATATAACTATCAAGGAAGCCACAAGAGAGAGTTCTCACCTGAGTAAGGTCTTTATTTCAATATTGCAATATTGGGAGCCCTGCTGCCACTTCGCCAAGTGCAACCAGAGACTCAATTTGTTACAAGCAGTACAGGGTTTTTATAAGACGTTGCGCTGTAAAAAAGTTC